CCATCCATCAAGACCTAAATAAATTAAATCATGATTAATGCTTAATAACAATTAAATAATTATTTTAGAATTTAACTCACTTAGTGTAAGATTTTTTTCTTTTTCTAATTCATTTTCAATTTTTTTTTCAATCCTAGAAGTTTCTTGATCTAAAAGCTTGCCAGAAAGAACAGCACGTGATGGTAATGTGTATCTCGGAATAGCAATTTTAAAAAGATCGATGATAAAGGGATTTTCTATTGTACAAAAAGCAAATCCACAGCATATCCATGCTTTAAGAATTGCTTGATCAAGTTTAGTAGCTCGAGAATCAGAAATAGGTACAATATATTGATAATGTGTAGTAATACTTAATTGTTTTGAATGTTTTGTTGGCCTTGAACCGCCTTCTGCTAATAATCTCACCATTTTATTTTTATATTATCAGGTGCAATACATCAGCAAAAAATAAATACGAAAAATTTCGAAAGAATTTGCGGTGCCGAAATATTTTGAAATTATTGCAATCGACACGAAATATTTTGAAATAATTATTTCGAAAAATTTCGAAAAAAATTTCGAAATATTGCGAAAAAAATTGCAAAAAACTGCAAAAGATAGCAACAAAAGAATTTCGAAATATTTCAAAATATTTTGAAATATTTCGAATTATACAAAATATTTCGAAATAACATTATAGCAGATATTCATTATAACAAAATTTCTCAGCCTGATCATTACGATATAATAAGGTTAGACCGTATTTTGAAATATTTCGCATTTATAAATAACTATTACTTATTTGACATATACGATGATATCATCTAGCTCGAAAAGTGGGTTAGGACTAATTAATTTATTAAAATTACTATATTGTTACCAAATAATTTTTATTATATAATAATTACATATTACGATTATTACATATTACGATTACTATTACTTTACATCGATACATACATGCTATAAAAATTACATATAACAAATAACAATGGCAAGCCTATAATAGCAAAAATATAAGCAACAAATCGACTAATATACTAACGACAAATCTGGGGCTACAGAATGCAAACTATCGAGAAAAAAAAAACCTGAAGCTAATTCCAGAAGAGCAAAGTAAACAGACAAAAAAAAGGGTGTTAGTAACATTTACAAACAAAAAAAGCAAAAAAACAAAAAGAAAACAAAAATACTATAACAATACTTACCCAACCCGAAATAATTCCAAACAAAGAGCGAAGAAACAAGTGAAACCACTAAAAAAGAGAAGGACGTTAATAACGTGGTTTATAAACAAAAAAAAAAAAACAATATGAACAGTAAAAATACTGGAAAAATAACGAAGAAACAAGCGAAACCACCAAAAAAAAGAGAAGGGGGTTAATAGCATGGCTCATAAACAAAAAAAACAAAAAACAATATGAATGGAAAGATACCCACCAGATCCGAAGCCAATTCCGAAAGAATAACAAAGAGACAAGAGAAATCACCAAAAAAAAAAAAGGGCGTTAGTAAAATGGCTCACAAACAAAAAAAACAAAAACAATATGAATGGAAAGATACCCATCAAATCCAAAGCCAATTCCGAAAGAATAGCGAAGAGACAAGCGAAAGCACCAAAAAAAAGAAAAGGGCGTTAGTAAAATGGCTCTCAAACAAAAAACAATATGAATGGAAAGATATTTACCAGATCCGAAGCCAATTCTGGAAGAATAGTGAAGAGACAAGTGAAACCACCAAAAAAAAGAAAAGAGCGTTAGTAAAATAGCTCTCAAACAAAAAAAAACAAAAACAATATAAATAGAAAGATACCTACCAGATCCGAAGCCAATTCTGGAAAAATAGCGAAGAGACAAGCGAAACCACCAAAAAAAAGAAAAAGAGCATTAGTAAAATGGCTCATAAACAAAAAAAAACAAAAACAATATGAATAGAAAGATACGCACCAGATCCGAAGCCAATTCCGGAAGAATAGCGAAAAGACAAGTGAAATCACCAAAAAAAAGAAAAGGGCGTTAGTAAAATGGCTCACAAACAAAAAAACAAAAAACAATATGAAAAGAAAGATACTTACCAGATCTGAAACAATTCTGAAAGAATAGCGAAGAGAAGCGAAACCACTAAAAAAAAGCAAAAACAATTACAATAAAGATACCTACCAGAATCGAAGCCAATTCCGGAATAATAGCGAAGAGACAAGCGAAATCACAGAAAAAAAGATAAGGGCGTTAGTAACATATCTCATAAACAAAAAAAAAAAAACAATAAGATACCTACCAGATTCGAAGCCAAATGCGAAGTAGTGCGAAAAGGAAGTAAAACTACCGAAAAAAAGAGAAAGGCGTTAGTAACATGCCTCGCAAACAAAAAAAACAAAGAACAATTATAATAAAGATACCTACTAGATCCGAAGCTAATTCTAGAAGAATGAAGACAAGTGAAGCTATTAGAAAAAAAAGAAGTCAATAGTAACGTAATCTACTAACAAAAAAAACTAAAAACAAAAAAAACAATAAGTATAACATGTTTCTCATACCCTGAAGTCAATTCAAAAAATGAGCGAAGAGGGAAGGAAATGCCAGGAAAAAGAAACACCTGTAACGATGTGCTGCAAAAAGCTAAATAAAAAAAATTAGATCAGATCAGTATTTAAATGATAATGATAATAAAAATTAAAAAAATTATTTCTATTCGAAGATTAGTTTACTAAAAACAATAAAAACATATAATACATTATATAGAAGCAAAATGCATTTTATAATAAATGCGATTTGAATTATTTTAAAGTTTACAAATAACTTGTTTATTATTCAAATATATTCGAATATATTCGAATATAGTCAAATATAAACAATAATTTCACAATATTTCGAAATTATTTTGGTTAAAATTTTTCGAAATATTTTTTGAAATATTCGAAAATTTTATCGAAATTTTTTTGAAAATTGCATTTTTCGAAATATTTCGAAAATTATTGCACTTATTTTCAAAATTTTTTTGTATTGCAAAATCTTTCGCAATATTTCGCACCTATAAATTTGCTGATGTATTGCAAGTTCTAGCTAAGTGAACTTTTATTTCATGTGGACGTCCTCTTTGCCAACTTGTAGAACACCATTTACAATTTGCTTTATAAAAACCTTAGCCTACGGTATCACCTTTAATAACATCATCCCACACCTCATCAATTTTTTTACCTCCAGCATGTTTTCTTTTTCTATCTTGTGTTGATGATTCTAACTGATCAGAGAATTCTTTATCAGAAGTATCTATATTGTCTCGTAAAAATATGGTTTCACTATTATTTGGACTTGTAAGATTATATATCTGATTATTCATATTGATACAAGCTTTGGTTTAAAAATGATAAAATATTTTTGCTAACGAATTATATATAAATTGATATCTCAAAATTCTCAAAAAAATTTGATAATGCTGCCAAATGCATAACTATGAGAAAATATTTGATGTTAAAACAATAATATCGAAAAAAAATTGCAACAATAATATTGTATTGCCGCATATTATTAATATTGTACTGCACGCATATTATTAAATTTTTTTTAGTTAGTAGTTTTATGATATTTCGGTTAAAGACCTCAGATTTTTATAGCATAATATTTTTTAGCAAAATAGTTAGCAACAATTGTCTTGTGCTAAAATGCAAAATTTGCTACTTTTACTTTAATCATGTGATTTTTTTACCTTTGTTCTTGAACTAATTTACGTAAACAAGTAATTATATGCATATTTTAGATAATGACCAAAGAACTCACTAAAATGATAGATAAAGAACTTGCAGAAGAAAAATATAATTATATTAAAATTTATACTTATAAATATAAATTTATAATAAGCTATTTTACTAAATTTGCTAATTTCACTAGCTATTTTTGCTACGTATCAACATCTGGGGTCTCTGATTTTGGTATAGTATATCAAAGCTAAACTGTTATTTTAAATATTTCAATTAACAAATGCTTTTACGTATCAAATACATATACTTTTATAAGAAAAGCGAAAAAAAAAATCGCTATACCCAATTTAATTAAGAATTAATATATAATTAAATGGCATCATTATAAATAAAATTGTAAGTCTAAATTGGTTATTATTTTTTTTTTTTTTTATACATCATTGACCCTTTTCCTGTTTGATCAGAGGATACTATATATACGTGAGTAATATTTAATTGAATTTTTTTTCAATGATTCTTGGAAATTTAATTTGACAATTCCTATGAACCCTGCATTAAACCCTGTCAAACCCTGCTAGATCTACCAAATTCTGCTAACCCTGCATGTTACCATTGTGTAAAGACAATAGTAATATGCAAATAACGTTGAAGATTAGATAATTTGAGTATATTTGAGAAAAATAACAACTAACTGCATTTAGCGCAATAAGTATACTATTAATATTCAAGCACAATGCTTACACAAATTTTTGATATATACATACAACAGAGACCTCAGATTTTTGTAGCATGCTATTTTTAGCAAAATAGCTAGCAATAATTGTCTTACGCTAAGATGCAAAATTTGCTACTTTTGCTCTAAGCATGTGATTTTACCTTTATTCTTGAACTGATTTATGTAAACGAGTAATTATATGTATATTTTAGATGATGACCAAAGAACTTACTGAAATGATAGATAAAGAACTCGCAGAAGAAAAATATGATTATATAAATTTATAATAAGCTATATTGCTAAATTTGCCAATTTCACTAGCTATTTTTGCTAGCTATTTTTGCTATTAACGTCCAGGGTCTCTGCTAAATAATACAGGACAATAGATTCTATGCAACAACACATATTAACATGTGTCTTTATATACTTCTCATATTTTTTTTATGTATATGAAGCTACCTTTAGTATACTAACAAAAGATATTTTTTGAGACATTGTATATAGAGAGTTGTCATCTGGAAACAAGATGGCATTAATATAGCACTATTGATAAAATTAGAATTGAGAATATACATCTGTAAAGAGTACGTATGTACGTATTTGTGAAAGAGTAAAATGGTTTGGGTCGAATCTACCAAATATGGATCGGGCTTGATGCATTTATATTTTGTACATACGTACGTACGTATATTGTGAAAGTTGTTTGTAATAGATTTTCTATATATAGTGAATAAGATTTGGCTCATTTTAGTATATGCTGAAAGGGTAAATCGATGCTGAGGTGGCTCAGGTCGAATCTAGCCAAAGTTAGTATAGTGCATAAAGTGGCACTTATAGTACTTATTCCACTTATCGCCTTAGTAGCCTTTGTATCCTTATTAGCCTTATTAGCCTTAGTAGCCTTAGTAGTTTTAGTAGCCTTAGTAGTTTTATTAGCTTTATTAGTTTATCGAATAAGTTCGACTTGTATTATAGTAATATAAAAAGTATAAAAGCGATGCTTTTTTGTATTGAATAAAGACTAACTTTGTGAAGTTTATAAACTACTAGAGTTCGAAAACCTTTGAAGTCAGAGTAGAAGTATTTGTCTCTAAACTGTTGTACTTTTTTATTAGAAAATCGTTCGTCGATATCGTATTTTCTTGCCCCTGTGACTATCGTATATCGTATTGTCGTATTTAGTAAGAGAAAGAAATTGTATTGGCATTAGTAATACAACTCTTATATATTAAAATTGATCCTGATTAAGTTTGTAATCAATGTTATTGAGCCTTATTTGTGACTTTGTACTACATTCCGGTTGGCTAATTTTGATCATGAGACCCAGCTACAGTATCTACGAAAAGAAGAATTTATAGTATTAACGAAGGTGTTAAAGAAAGTAAAGTCTTATTAAGGAAATAAGAGAGCACTTATCTGAGTCAAACACTATCTCTACCAAGCCAATTCACCCTGATTACTCAGACCAAGTCTTTCTATACCTTGATTATTGCCTTACCAATATTAGGGTTTGGTTAAAGTAGTTTTAGTGTTCTGGTTAGAGTATTTCAGTTAGTATTGGTATAGTTAGTAGACAATATCGACCCAGCAACTTTTCTGACGCAGTCTATACTTTCTCAACATTCTGTAGCTTTAGCTGTAAAACATAATAATAGATTAAATTAACATATTTATAATAAACTATTCAAGTTCTTGAACCTAAAAGATGCTATAAAACTATACTAAATTAGTAAATATATAGTTTCATTATTATCATTAAAATTGATAAGTTAATCTCACCAGCATCACTGCATAGTTTTTATTACCCAGTAAAAACACAAATATTATTAATTTATTCATCGAGCGTAATATATCAATTTAATCCAGTAGTTGGAGATAGAGTTGCTGGTGAAACTAAGTGAAACTGGTGACTATCTAAAATCCTGGTGACTATCTAAAATCTGATTGGCTATTGCATTTAATAGTCACTCAGATTTTAGATAATCACCAGTTTTATCAGCACAATTTAGTTTCACTAGCAACTCTAGTTAGGGAGCATAAAAAATATTTATTAATTACTATATTTAAGATAAACTATTCAATATAGCAAAAAGAATAAAGGAATAAAATTCAAAGAAAAGCTAAAACTATAGATGATTTATGTACTATATAAATTAGAATTGCAGTAGTCTTTTTAGCTCAAATTTGACCAAATAAATTTTTTTAAATAAACAGTTTAAAGTGTTACTGTCACATTCAATATAATGAATAAATAAATTAAATAAATAAATTAAATACATAACAAAACAATGTACTAACATCTCAAATTACATGTATAATTTAGACCGTTAGCAAATGATACGTTATACTGATATAATAATTTATAGGTAGATTGAAGAACAGTTAACCCAGTGATATTTTCGTGCTAATTACATCACATGATTAACACTCGGCCTAAGTTAGGTAAGTATTAAGGTATAGGTGATAGTTTAGTTTAGGCTAATTTGTTAGTGCTATAAAACATTGCATTATTTCACGTGATGTGATTATCACTGAGTTAACTGTTCTTCAAGTGTCCTCCAGTATCACCAGTATCACCAGTATCATCAGTATCGCCAGTATTAGCAGTATCACCAGTATCACCAGTATCACCAGTATCACCAGTATCACCAGTATCACTAGTATCACCAGTATCACCAGTATCATCAGTATCACCAGTATCGCCAGTATCGCCAGTATCACCAGTATTATCAGTATCACCAGTATCACCAGTATCACCAGTATCACAAGTATCACCAGTATCGCCAATATCACCAGTATCACCAGTATCACCAGTGTCACCAGTATCGCCAGTAGGGATAGTAAAGTTCCTAGGTTCGGAACTTTAAAACCAGGTTTTAGAACCTGGTTTTTAAAAACCAGGTTCCAATTTTGGAACCTAGGTTCTTAGGTTCGTTATAGGTTCTTAGGTTCATGATAGGTTCTTAGGTTCATGGTAGGTTCTTAGGTTTGTAATAGGTTTTTAAGTTCTTAGGTTCATGATAGGTTCTTAGGTTCGTAATAGGTTTTTAAGTTCTTAGGTTTATGATAGATAGATTATTAACATAATATTAATGTGATAATTAATATAATAAATATAGTAATATAATAACTATAATAAATAAACCAAAATTAATTAAATTCTTAAATAGCACTCAACCTGGCTAAGCACCTTTTCTCTTCCTACACACTAGAGCTTTGACCCGGATCAGAAAATACTGACCTGGACGGGTCATGTATTAACTCGGGTCACGACCCGGATCAAACGGGTCAAACAGAAATTCATGAAGTTTTTAAAGTTAATCCTTAAAAGTTGATATAATGCCTCTTAATTAGAGCTATTAGCATAGAGAGCAGCCTGTACTCCAAATATTTAAATGGAATTTTTCAGATTTTATATTGAAGGATCTCTTGACCTTGCTCGTGATTTGAATTCGTTTATTTCCTATTTTGAGAAATATGGATTACTTATTTTAACAGGCCAATTTTGGACCATGAAGCTAATTTGCACAGGTCAGATGACTAATGATACCTGACGAATGATTCGCCATTCGTCATTGACGAATAACGAAACATTTCGTCAAGGCATTTCTGATTTACAAATTGACAATGACGAATCCTGTGACTATTGTACTATTGATTTTTTATGAAAGAAATAAAAAATTTAAATTATTAGAACGCATTTAAAAAGTTTATTTTTAGGTTTGAACTAGAAATATGTCTCATTTAAGATATTGTGACAAAAAATAATGTCACATTTGTAAATAAGCTTTTTGTAACCTTATAGTTTAATGTAATCACGAGGTTACTTTAATTAGACTTTTATATTGATATCCCATAATTACGTAGTAGTATGTAGTCCAATAATTTGTATATAAATAGAGATAGTCACTTAGGTCATAGTTCGGG